GATTTCAAAAGAAACAATGATAACTGTCTTGAGCACAAGATGGCAGTCTTACGTCTGCTTCACTCCCCATGGTTGTCTGGAGAAAAGTGATAGGAAACAGAGCAGAAACAAACCTGCTTGTGTTGCTGAGAAATATTGAAAAATAAATACTCATCAAGAAGGATAATGAGGGAAGGGAAGAGATTAAAAATAAGTGGAAAGGTTTTTTGTGTGCTATGTTTTGATTTGTTTTAAAATTTGGCTCTACTCATCTTGAGTTGCTGCTAAATACGTGTAGGCTAGGTCCCACATGCATGTTTTGGCTCTAGAGCAAAGTCCCTAGGAAAGTACAAGGGAGGTAGAAGGAGGTAGAGACCATATGTGCTGGAGAGGAGGCTGGCTTAGGGCCCTGGTTCTCAGATGAAAGGAGTCTTGGGCTAAGCTATGATGACCTCTTCTCAGTGCTCTTATGAAAATAAGAAAAGGGGAAATATCTTTTTTATACCAAGAGCTATGCCAAACTCTAGCAAGAGTTTACATGTGTTCTACTCATAGGTAGATAGTTTCTCCCTCCTCCCCCTCCCCCTTCCCTCTCCTTCCCCCTTTGAACCTCCTTCTTCTCCCTCTCCTTCTCTCTCCCTCTCCTTCTCTCTCCCTCTCCTTCTCTCTCCCTCCTCCTCCTCCTCCTCCTCCTCCTCCTCCTCCTCCTCCTCCTCCTCCTCCTCCTCCTCCTTCTTCTTCTTCTTCTTCTTCTTCTTCTTCTTCTTCTTCTTCTTCTTCTTCTTCTTCCTCTTCATCTCTTTCTCCAGTAGCTACTGAAATCCAAAATGAACTACTTGGAACACCCTCATTTCTGCAAAGAAAATCATATCCAGAATGAAAAGGTGAAGGAGGAGGAAAGGCTAACTTAATAAGAAGTTCATTGGCATTCTCTAATAAGATGTCCAATGTAGCCCAGGCAGCACAGAGGTAATCTGACCCCTACAGCCAGCCCCATAACTGTGTTAACAGCCCAAAAGCAAAGGAAGCCAGCAGGCTGCTGTTTCTGGGATGAGGTAAGGTCATTCTGTGCTGCTGCATTGCTGAGGGTGGACTGGCTATAGGGAAGACTGATATAGCAGCAAGAAAGCAATCACTGGTTCAGCCTGCTTCTGCCCTCCTGGATCCTCTTTTCTGTTGGGATGCTTCCATTTTAGTTACTGATACCATTGTTCTTTATTTCTTGACTTAGTGTACTGACTAGAATCTCCAATGCAATGCTGGAGAATTGATGAAAATGGATACCCTTATCTCCTTACTGATATTTGGGGAAAAGCATTGCATTTTCCACATTAAGCATTATGTTAGCTGTTGTTTGTTTGTTTGCTTGCTTGTTTGTTTTAAGATTCTATTTATTGGTCAAGGACATTCCATTTTATTTCTAATTTGCTGAGAAGTCTCAGAAGTAGATGTTGAATTTGGTTAAACTTACCTTTTTTGTGTCTTTTGAGATTGTATAATTTTTTATTTTTAGTTTATAAATATGGTAAATTAAATTGATTGATTTTCAAGTATTAAAGTAAAATAGCATTCTTGGGATAAACCTCATTTGATTATGGTGTTTTTTAATGCCTGATGTTTTGTTGGAAATCATTTGCTGAGATTTTGTTTAGAATTTTAGCATTATGAGGGGTACTGCTTTGTTGTTTGATTCTCTTGTAATGTCTTGGTATGATTTTGGAATCAAGGCAATGATGGCCTCATAGAATGAGTTAGAAAGTGTTTCTGTCTCTTTATTTTTCTGATAATAATCTGGTACTATTCATTTTCTGGTATTATTTTTCCTTAAGTTTTTTGTAAAATTCACCAGTGAATCCATTGGGGCCTGGAGTTTTCTTTATGGGAACGGTTTTTGTTGTTAATCCTCACTGGAGGATATTTTTTCCATTTACTTTAGAGAGAGTGGGAGAGAGGAGGAAGAGGAGATAGGAGAGAGAGAAACATTGATGTGAGAGAGCCACATCAATTGATTGCCTCCCGCATGAACCCCAACCAATGGCAGGGAACCTGCAACCCAGTTATGTGCTCTTGACTGGAATCAAACCCACGACCCTTGGGTTCATGGGCTGATACTCCAACCATTTAGCAATGCCAGCCAGGGTTAGGGAAAGGCTTTTAACTAATAATTCAATTTCTGAAATAGATATAGAACTATTCAGGCTATTTCTTCTGTAGTGATCTTTTAAGCTTGTTATCTCTCAAGGAATGTGTTCATTTCATTTAAGTTGTCAAATTTATAATATTACCTTATTACTTATTCAATATCCATAAGTTCTCTAGTGTTTTCATTGCTGTCATTCCTGTTATTGATAATTTGTATCTTTCCTTGTTCATTCCTGGTCAGTCTGGGTAAAGTTTTATTAAATTCATTTGTCTTTCAGAGAATCAGCTTTTGGCTTCATTGATGGTCTCTCTTGCTTTTCTGTTTTCTATTGCATTGTTTTCCACTCTTATCTTCATTATTTCCTCTCTCCTGTTTACTTTGTGTTTAATTTGCTCTCTGTTTTCCAGTTTCTTAAGGTGGAAGCTGAGGTCACTGGTTATAGACATTTTTCTTTTCTAACACAGGTATTTGAGTTATAAAGTTCCTCCTATAAATTTTAAGATGCTTTAGTAGTATCCCAAAAATTCTTTAAAAATGTTTAATGTCTTCCCCCCCCCCAGCTTTATTGAGATACAATTGACATACAAGTATACATTGTGCTGTGTAGTGTTTTTTAATTTCTCTTTTGAATTTTGCTTTAACCCTGTTCCCTTTAATCCTCTTGGGATTGATGATTTGGTTGCAAGTAAATCTATTCCCTATCACTCCATCTTAGAAGCAGAAGCTGGCAGTGCCTTTGTTTTCACAACCCAGCACTGGATGTTAAAATCTATGTATTGGGTTATTACAAGCAATACCAATAAAATGGTATAAAATAGAAAATAAAAATTAGTGTATTTCATGTACTAAGAGTAAGTTTTGTGTTGTGAAACTTCTTTTAAGTTATATGTACGTATGTATGTGTGCCTTGGATTGTGATATGAAAGGAATTTTATGCTGTGGATCATGATAAAAAAAAAAGCTTGAGAAATGTTGTTCTTGACACAGCATGGTCCAGTACAGGCAAGGGTCACAACACTCAGTCTCCACCTTTGCCGTGAAGAGTTCATGTGATCTGGGGGAAATTATTTCTATTCAATTTTGTCCATCTGAAAAATATTCATCATCTCCTGTCTGAGAATTCCTGAAATCTCTGTGCAATATCTCATAGTTCTTAGAATTGAGTTAGATCGATCATTTTATCAGTCAAGAAACGTTTATTGATTGCCAAGTGTGTTTTAGGCACTGTGCATGCTAATCTTGAGTTACCAGCATGAATAAGAGGGAGGCCCTCGCTGGCCCAGTACTAGACTATACCTGGCTACCAGAGGAAGCAGGAAGTAAGGCTTTAAGAAGTGCAATGCAGACTCTCAGCACAGGGAGGATTCAGATATTGAGGTGAGAGGGAGAGTGTCCAGAGGGAATGAATTGTTCAGAGGGACTTGTAATGTTAGAGGTTAAGAACGTGAGAGTGAAGAGGGCCTGTTTGAGAAATCTCAATGCTAGTTCGTTTCATTTCATTCATTACACACACACACACACACACACACACACACACACACATTTTAATACTATGTCCTTGAGATATAGCAAAGAACAAAAGTACCCCTGCCTTTAAGGAGTGTGCATTCCACTAGGAGAAATATAGTAAACATTACATATAATAAGTAAGTAAGTGATCTGTTAAAAATGGTAAGGACTATGGAAAAAACTGAGCAGGTGAAGGGTAATTAGAAGTGGGTCTGCCAGTTCTAATTTTATGTGGGAGATATTCGATGGAGGTATATTTAGAATCTAACAGTAGTATATATTATAATACAAATTCTAAAAATATTCTAACATAATTAGAATCTTTATGTTGTATTGACACTTTGTGGCCAGTAGGACGCAAAGGGCCATTTCTGAGAAAAGTGGGGTGAGAGGGGGTTGTGAGAGAGAGATGTGGGTAATTATGCACACGCCCTCCCCCCAGGTGTCCTGTAGGGGCAGCTCCATTAAGGACATCGGCAAGACAGGCAGAAGAGCGTCACTGTGTGACCTGGACCAAGACATTTTTGCCCTTTGCTTCCCTTCCTTGGCATGTCCTCACCCAGCAGGAGTTGGCGGCTGAGCAGAGAAGTGAACTTCAGCCTGGCCTTTCAGCACCCAATGGGTGTCACAATCCAGTGATGGTGGAGAGAGACAGACCTGCTGGCCTTTTCTTCCGGCCCCGCATCAAGATTGTGTGTGTGTGTGTGTGTGTGTGTGTGTCTGTGTGTGCGCGCACGCTCTGCAAGGATTCCTGTGGTTACACTCATCGCTGGGGATCTGTATAAAAGCCCCACTAGATGCTTTCTGTTCCTTTGTAATATTTAAAACGTCATGGAGATTAAAGCATTTACCTGGACGTTCGGATATTTCGATTTCCCCACCTAGCCTCTGTGGGCAGATGGGTGATCATTCTTATCTTCTGGCGCGGTGAGCTGCCCGCCTTTCACTCAGCTGGACAAGGGCGCGCAAGCGTCGGGGGTTCCGCAGGTTGCGCATCTGGCGCCTGGGCCCGCCCGGAGCAGTGCCCGCCTAGGCCTTGGCCCTTGGTTTGTGCTCTCCAGCGTGCTGGGCGCTCTCTCCCCGCGCGGGGGCACCAGAGCCCTCGGAAGTGTCTGGCACTGCGGTGCCTTTTCCCAGTTCCTTTTAAATGACTGCGGAAAAACAGCCTCTCTGAGCCGCAAATGGGAAGACGGATTCACAGACCAGGCTTGCAAATGCCCCACAGCTATCGCAGCCATCATCTAACTGAGCCCACAGAGCCGTTATGGTTTGTCACCCGGCCCTCCCGGATCGCCTTATTTGTCTCTCGTGAGACCCTGAGGCTTTGGTCCTACCCGGCTTCTTGGTAGCTGGATGCCTGTCGTGCTCTCGGTAGCGCGGGCGCAGGGCACGCGTTTGCGCACACTCGCGCTCCTAGGAAAACGCACAAGGTACGGCAGGGGAGCAAGGGCTTTGGGTGCCCCGAGTCGGGGTGGGCATCGCGGGGAGTGAGGTTACGATCGGGGAAGGGTTGCATCCTGCCAGGTTGACGGGTGAGAGAAAATGACGCGGCGCCACACATCGGACAGGCCAGGGTTGCTGCCGCGCATTTAGGGAACCCAATACGAGTCAGGCGCGCTCCCTTCCCCTCACATGTCTCTATTTCCCGGGAGTGTGATGCCAGAAAACCGCAGGAAAAAGACCCACTTAGAGAGCTAGAGTTGCGTTTGGAGATTCCCTTCCCTTTACAAAAGCACCAACAGGAAGACCCTCCCAAACCACCAGCGTTCCCAAATCGATGTCCCCGAACGGGGGCGGTCATCCTCGGTTACCGATGCCGAACACGTTTTGGTGTTTACAATATTTATTTTTTAAAGATAGCTCGCCCTCCCTTTTAGGCAGGGTGGGAAAGGAGAACGCAGCGGGGAGGGAAGACTCCTGGAATAAGAATCAGCGTATTTTTCAGAGCTGAACCGAACCGGGTTTCAACCATTTCAAAAAAGGAGACAGCCTCTACCGCAATTGTCGAAGAGACCGCGGTGTGAATTAGGAGCTGGGAGGCGTCGAGCGGCGGAACGGTCCATCTCAGAGGTACCAGGATCTAAATGCGCGCACATACACGCACACACACGCTCACACGGAAACACACACCCACACCCGCACCCACACCCACCCACACACACACACACACACACGCACGCACGCGCGCACGCGTCTACACAGCCTGGATGTGTGCGTGTGCGCGCGTGTGTGAACTCCCACATGCTGCTGCTGTCTGCTTCTGGCCAGTGGCACCGATGCCTCCCTCCTCCCCGCTCGCCCCCAGATTCCCCTCCCCTCCTTGTTGCTTTTGTCTGGAGGGTATTATGGGTTTGTGTGTGTGTGAGCGTGTGTGTTTTTGGATTTCAGACTAATTTTCTGGAGTTTCTGCCCCTGCTCTGCGTCAGCCCTCACGTCACTTCGCCAGCAGTAGCAGAGGCGGAGGCAGCAGCGGCGGCGGCGGTGGCTCCCGGAATTGGGTTGGAGCAGGAGTCTCGCTCGCTCCTTCGCTTGCGCTCTCTGCGCTCAGTGCTCGGCGGCAGGAGGAGCCTGGACCCGGGCGCCGCCGGCTGGCGGTAGGCACCGGAGCCGGGTGAGCAGCGCGGACAGTGCCCTCCGTAGTCTCGGCCCTCACTGTCCCCCCCTTGGGGCGGCTGAGGCGGCTCCCCAGGTGGGACGTGCCGCACCACCTGCCCGCGCCCCCTGCACCCAGCAGCGGTGGCGGATTCTGCAGCATCATTGGGGCCCCGTCTCCAAGCCGTGGCAGCGGCAGTCTCTTCGTCCCCCTTTTAAAGGGTTCTTCTCCTGGCCTGTGCCATGGAATCCATTCTCAGGGACCCTTGCCCTATCTTCCCTCCCATCAGTGCCATCGAGGGGCAAGTTTATTTCTGGGGTGGGAGCTGGGCACTCATCTTTCCACAGTCTCCTGGCTGGGGTCGGGGTGGGGGTGACGCGAGCCCCAAAGGAGAATGCCTCAATTCGTCGTCTCTGGGGTCCTGCGCTCAGTCTTACCCATGTCTGTTTGTCCTCAGCCCCGAGGTGCGTCTGGGATCTCAGTGCGTGTCTAGCAAGGAGCCTGCGTCCCAGAGAGTCCCCGGAGCACCGCCGGCTGGTGCCCAGCGCGCCGGGCCATGCTGCTGCGGCCACAGCGGAGCTCCTAGCGGCGGTAGCGCCCCCTGTGAGGAGGCCGGAGATGCCTCTGCCACTGTGAACGGTGCTGTCCGCCAGGATACGCTCAGCCCCGGACCCTCTGGGCTGTGCGGGCCCGCGACCCACACCGAGTAGGGCGAGCAGCGAGCGCGGCAAAGACCGCCCAGCACGGGCAGCGGAGGCCGGCCGGTGCAGCGCAGGGACGCGTACTCAGTCTGACTGGGGCTGGCACAGGCGGCTAGCTATGTCGTCCTGGACGAGGTGGCATGGACCCGCCATGGCACGGCTCTGGGGCTTCTGCTGGCTGGTTGTGGGCTTCTGGAGGGCCGCTCTCGCCTGTCCCACGTCCTGCAAATGCAGCGCCTCTCGGATCTGGTGCAGCGACCCTATTCCTGGCATCATGGCATTTCCGAGGTTGGAGCCTAACACTATAGACCCTGAGAACATCACCGAAATGTGAGTTCCTGGTGTTCTCCTTTCTTTCTTCTCTCCTGGCCCCTGCAGCCCTGGCTGGCCAGGCGAGTCCATCCTGGGCATGAATGTTGTCTCAAGTCTGGGGAGAAGTCAGAGATGAACAGGCAGGGCTGGGCCATCTGTCAGTTACCTGTCCGTTTCACTGGCCTGGGGCTGATAACACGGGGAGAAGTGTGACAGTTTAAAATAAGTTTTAAATATCCTATATGTGAATAACATACTTGTGGGAAGGCATTCTATATGCACTTTATATTTCAAAGTCTTGCTGGGCATGCTTTAGGCTTTCCACACGCAATAACTTAGTTTTGGACATTTTTGTGTCATAAGATGCAATGTGTATGTTGTGTTAGGAGGAGTTCTAGTAATATTTACTAGAAAGGAGGTTAAGATAATTCACTTTTTAAAATTTGTTGGAGGGGGTTAGAGTCTACCCCCTAACATCTTTCTCTGAGGTTTGGAGTTGACCCATGTCCCTTTTCATTTTATGCATCGAGGTTTTACTTAGGAGATTGCATCCAGAGATGGCCTTGAACATGATCTGTAAGAGGAGAAGTTCTGAGTGTTGAAAAGCACTTGCTCAAAAGGGAAAATGTGATCGTTGGAAGCCTAAAAGCCGGTCTGATTTAATTTGGAACTGACTTCTCAGAGATATAATTTTGAGACCATTTGGATGATAAATTTTAATTGTCCACTGAATATTTTCTCAGGACAAGGTTGGACGATAAAGCTGTGTGTAGTCCTCAGATGAATGCTGCCTTTAGCATGGGACCCCTAGGTCCCTGGCAATATTTGAGCTTGTTCTGATCTGATGGAGAAGCAGAATTGTGCATTTGTGTCTCCTCTTTTTATGCCTTGTGACAAATACATTAGCAAGTAGGAGTTCACTAGTCCTTCCTCCAGCATTCTCCTATCAACTCTACTAGAGGTGTCTGCCCTCCCCAACATTGCCGTTTATTCCATTAACATGAGATTTTATTCATCCACGTAGAGGGGCTGTAAGGCAAAGTTTCTCTAGGTTTCCCTTACGTGTTTGATACTAAGATAGGCAGCCCTGAAAGTAGGGCTTGGGCTGTGGCCTTCCGGTTGGCGAGTGCGCATGCATATTCCCCCCACAGAAAACGCACACCCTGTTTCTGCCAACGTATGACCGAGGTAACCTGTTTTTTTTTCTTCATGTAAGTAAGAGACCTTCCTAGTCTCTGTTTGTTCTACTGGGGATGTTCTTGTTATAAGGCTCAGGCAGAAGGAAGTGACAACAGAACAGAGGGGAAACGTGCTGGCCTAGCAGTGCTGAGATGTGCAGGGAGCAGCCAAATATCAGGCTGGATCCAGGATACTTGGTTTTCAATCTTTTTTTTTTTTTTGCCAGGATAGCAGCAGTCAGGGCCTGAGGTAGGGCCCTGGCCGTGCTGACCCTGGGCTGGCCCTAGACTGGCCCTAGGTTGGGCTGGTCCAAGCTCACCAAGCTGGTCAGAGTGTCTGTGCCTTTTGTCAGATGTGCCTTTTATATGAGATGGGGTGTCAGTAGTCAGATGGAGAAAGCCATATAGAATTCAGAGCTCTTCAGACTATTTTAAGACCAGGGGGAGTGCCTTTGTACAGTTAGATGTTGTTTTATTGTTGTTTTTAAAATTCTGTCTTAGGCAATAGATAATATAAAGAGGGAGAAAATGAGGTAAAGCTAGTCATTTTCATTTAAAATTTTTTCACTTTAATATTTTAAAGTCACAATCAGAGAAAAGGACACTAAAACTCTTTAAATTTAAAATGTTATTTTAAATCTTAGTGTCCTTAGCTGCCTGAGATAGATGAAATCAATAGATTTGAGGAGAGCTTTCTTATATTAGTCCTCATAATTGCTGCTGCTGTTGTTTTTATATCTGATGGCAGATTCCTATTTTCAGGCTTTTGAAAATGAATTTTTTGGGTTATATTTACCAAAGCACTTGTCACAGTTACTCATTCAATAATGGCACTGCTAATTTCTACTCTTATTTTTTATCCTTTGGTTTGAGCATTTGTTGAAATTAAGATCACTGAGAGGTATCAATGCATAAATGTTTAGGATGGGGAATTAGACTGGCCAATAGGAGAAAGTATGCTCCCTGCTCTGTCCCTCAGCTTTGATCGAGCCCAGCCAGTTTGAGCCCCAGGTGTTCTTATCTGTAAAATGTATCGAAATCCTTGTTTAGAAAGCACTTAGCATCATCATTTTGAATTCTGCTGTTTTGATATCAAAATGACATCAGTGGATGAGCTTGTTTCACTCTCACCATCTGTGTTCTTTTTCTTACATATTAATATTTGTTTGAACAGCTTTTCAATTCTTGGCCAGTAGGTACCAGCTACAGTTGGAACCAAATTACACTTTTTTAAAAAAAACTTGTTATTAGTCCCAAGGGTATTCCTAAAATAACATGTTTCAAAGTTCTGGTTTAATGGTGCTTAGCTAAACTTACATGTTCCCATAAAAAAGTAGGAATAATATAAGTAAATAAACTGAAGCAACAGTTGACTGTATCATTTAAAAATAGTATATCTTTTAATAACTATATATTGGGGGAAAATATAACCACTGTGCCTTTTAGAATTCAGATAAAGGTCATGGTAGAACATTTAAAAAAATATATGTATGATTAAAGAAGAGATAAGTTTATTTTTGTTTCTACATGCATATTTTAAGTCAAGCTGACATTTTGTTTTGAGAGTCAGTGTTTGACTTTATTTTATGAAAAATCTCTCCATCGCAGTGTCTGTGTCTCATACTCTTTACTCACTAACATGGTCTACATCTAGATCTACATCTCTCTGTCTACAGATATGCATTACATTTGTCTATCATCACACTGCTGAGAAGTGCCACTTTTGTTATTTGGTTATGGTTTTACCAAAGCGATACTAAACTCAGTTTAAAAATAATACCATTGTCACATATAAGTGGAATTCAAGAGTAAAGCCTGATATTGGAATTATGTAACCGGCCATTTAAGTCTCAGTTTTATCAGGTGCCAAAATGCATTGCAAAGGACAAGTTTTGTCTCACATAAGTGGTAAAAGGCATGGATAAAATAGGTCAGGTATTTCAGTTTTATTGTGGTCAAAAACATATAATGTAAAATTTGCCATCTCAATTATTTCTTACAGTACCATTCAGTAGTGTTGTGAAAGGGAATGCATTTTTATATTGTCTATATTTTAATGAGGACCAATGATGACCTTTTTCTCAATTTCTTGTGTGATGTTCTCTGATTTGGGGTTAATATTTGGAGACAAGTGTAATATTTTTCCTCTCAGTACAGCACAAATAGAATTTGCAGCTTCTGCCGCCAGAGCTTCTATGTGCAATTTATTGCTGGCTTGGTTAAGTGACTGTAATGTTATGTCATTAATACATTGATTTTGGCCCTCTCACCTTAGTAAGCATTTCCATTGCAATTAATTGTACTAAATAAAAGTTCTGGCATTTATAAGGATTCAGTAAAAGGCATCAGTTTTTTATGACTCCGATGTTTACTTTTCAGCTCCTCCATGCTTGAATTGTGCTTTACATGCATTTAAGAACCTTGGAGTAAGTTTTGAGTGCGGTTACATAGGCCACACTGGACTTGTTAATAAATAAGACAGTCTAATTTATGTTATTCATTATTTAATACGGCTTGCAAGCTCTTGTTGAAAACCTGCTGTCTTCATAGTGAAGATATTTTCAGAATTCAGCTCAGCACAACCATTTTGAAGTCTGAGTTTCATACCTTCCATCTCCACATTATGGAGGTTTTTATTACATTGGGTCAAACAACTGAAAAGCCCCATGACCCTTCTGACCCTACTTTCTTCCCCCTCCCCCTCTCCCTCTCATCGACTATCCAGGAAAATGTATTTGATTTTTTTTCTTCTCCGAAAAGTGATATTTCCTTATGGGAATTCAGAGCATTGAGTTAAGAGAAAAGCCTGGGTTATATGTTATTATAAACAAGTAATGGGAAGTTACAATGGTGTGGTCACAACTCCCCAGTACTGAGTTTAGCTTTGTTTTAGATCTGCCACTCTTTTTCTCCCATAGACCTCTGTTTGTGTCTGTTTCAGTACTTCAGTAAAGACATTTTCTAAGCTGAAAAGTTGGCTGAACAGCTGAGAGTTGAGGTCTCTTTCTCCCTGGGAACATTCTGTATGATCTCTTTGACTATATCTAGGTCGTAGGAGCATAAAACCTAGAGTTTTTGTTTAGCTGGGAAAGGAAATAGAATTTCTTTTTTTCTCCTTTTTCTTTTTCTTTCTTTCTTTCTTTTGCCTTTAGTACTAAGCGAGTGCCTCTACTTTTAACTCATTGCTCACCTTGCCTGTAGAGAAAGAAACATTTGCAAACCACGGTAGAATATTATATACTGGCATTATTCACAGACTAGCTTTACCATTTCTCGGGAGAGTTTCTGCTAGGGTAAATAACTATATGGTAAAATGTGGCATTGAACCTGCTGCCCTTTGGAGCAGTGCCAAATTTTTGTTCCTCTTGGTATCTATAAATCAATAGAATGATTTTTTTGTGGGAGAGATTATTTAGGCAGCACAGACTTTTTTCTTGTTTGATGTATGAGAGAAAAGAAGAGAATAAAACTCAACTTTGGATTATTAATATCTGATTAATCATTTTCATGAACTACTTGGTCTTGTGAGTTTAAAACACAAATCCTGCCCCCCAGGTGGCAGAGATCGGAACCCCACAGTGGCCTGATAATTTTAGCTCTCCATTTGTTTGCTGATTGATTTCCATTAAGAAAGGCAATGATCCCACATGATCAGGTGTCTTCTCACCACTTACTTTGCTCTCTGGGATGCCCAAAGGTCTGAGAAGTCATAAATATTGATCTGGGAGATGAAGGAGTGAATGGTTGTGAATGATATAAATCTAGGAAGAAATGTGATGCATAGGTATGAAGTTTACATGTTTCACAAAACCCTGGATGAGATAGAAAACTGGAGTCAGG